AAGAAGGTCAGGCAGATTTATATCTGTAAGGGTGGAAGGCTCCACCAATATATATTTTCTTAATTTTTTTCTTTTTTCTTAAGAATTTCGACAGTATTTAATTGTTTCGACAGTTCTGCTGCGGCTAACAGACCGGTCCCAATACAACAATACAAAAAACAATGCCTAATAAAAATAAGCTTATATAAAAAAAACCCCTCACTTGACTAAAAAAAAGGCTTATTGTATCAATCTTTATATCTATGGCATCAATCTAGATAAAAGTACAGATTATGGTGAACCTTTAAATTAAAAATCCAATTGCGAATTTGTAAAAATGTTAGGTGTTTTTATAAAATAATCGATTGAATCGGAAATCGAAATTATTTTTTAAAATTTAGTAGAAAATTTACAGCATTATTTTTATTCCATTTTGTACCTTTTTTTTCTTACATTGTACAATATTAAAAATGTAAGAAATGAGGTTTGAACGACACTGGCTAACATCTGTAGAAGATTCTGGCTTTTGAATAAACCTTATAAAATGTTTACATATGCATACATTTTAATTTATAAAAATTTAATGAGTTTCAATGATTTTCAAACGAATTTCTGGCTTTCCGTTTTTATATAAAACTTATTTAAATATAATTTTCAATAAAATAAATGTTATTTATTTCGCAAGCTGTTCAACTATTTGCAATTAATTCTCCACCCATCACCCTTACACCACTGTGCAGCGCAGGCCTGTTTGTGTTGTTGGGGCTTGCCTCTTGCCATACATGTTACTGCTTCCTTCTGGCATCGGCAACATGTCAATTATATCGTATCAAATTAATAATTGTACGCGCCGCACCGCAAAAAATTGCAAGTCTCGATTGCTGCGCCGGCGACTGAAGTTTTTGGCGCTTGGCTGCCGTTGCCACTAATCGTGGCAAACAAGCATGAACTAGCCACAGTTCATGTCAAATTTAATTTATATCTGCCGCACTGCTGCTGTCAACGCTCGCTGGCGCTGCTGTGGCAAGTCACGTTGCCGTTCCTAGTGTTTTGTATGCGGCATGTAGTAAGTGTAAAATAATTATGCATGTGCCGCTTGGCAAGACCACAGCCATGACCCACGATCGAGACACATAGCCAGTCGCTAACTGGCACTAAAATGTGTGAACATAAATGATTTAACTTGTTCATAAAGCTTTTCAAAAGCGTTCTTTGTACTATATGTTTTGATATTGACCCAAAGGCCTCCCATTACTCGTCGACTCATTGGATGTTGTTCGTTCCAAACTGGTCGAACTGTTTTCATAGAGTGGAAACCATCCAAAGTGTTATTAAATTCCGATAAACGATCTTATTGAAACTAAAAACAAACTGGTAAGTCCATTAAGTACCTAATTATAAAGCATGCGGGAAGATCCTGCACTCCAATGTACGTATGCAGTACAAAAGAGTGATATTTCCGACAAACTCGGGAACAAGTTGTTCCCCATTTGGAGGTAAATCTTTCTAAAAACAAAGGGGAAACTTCATTTCCTAGGTCTTCTTTTCGTTTCCAATATTTCAAAAAACATGGAAGGCAGTTTGTTTTGTATTCTTTCTTAGAGTATAAGAACTAAGTTTGAAGTCGATCTTATTTTAAAATAAATATATTTCAGACAAACTTTGGGGAGGGTTATGCGTCTTTGGAGTTAAAATTTTCAAAAGGGCGCCCCTTAGTTCTAGCTTACACTGTGCTGAATCTATTTATCCTGTATCAGTATATATTAAAAAGTATATATTAAAAAACAATCGACATCCAAACCAAACTTATAATCCTCTAAAAAACAACACAAATATCGAAATAATGGTCTTTTTATAGCCGAAGAAATAAGTAACCAGTGGCTAATCTCTAGGGCTATAATTGTTCTTTTTGTGCTCACTATATGAGTATGATGATGGAGTCTGTGCTTTTTTTAAATTTCGGGCTTCCCCTTTGCCATTCCTGAATACTTTATAACCGCTTCATCAATAGACTATACAAAAAAATAGACTTGAATCAGTCAAAAAATAAAAAAATGAATATGAAATCGACAAAATAATGTTAACACCTTTCTGCAATATTTCGGTTCATTAACAAATTGAAATTAAAATTAAATTATTTTGCGAATTTAGTCACATTTCATTAATAACAGATTAATCAAATACATATCCACGAGTTTTGAACAACAATACAAAATTTGCGATCGAGCGTGAAAATCGTAAATCGACTTTTTTACTCTACTTGTATATATTTATGTGCGCATATTTGTGATTAACACAAATACCTCTCATTTGGCAAAAGGGTATCAATACATTGTAAATTAATCAAACATTTTAGTGGCTCTATTAAAATGTACGAATCGAGACAGAAAATCCAAAACTGGTTTCGGAATTTTTCTTCTTTTTTTTTTTGTTGCAGTTGTTGACGATGTCGTTGTGTTGGCGTCATTTGCTTTTGGCCAGTTCGATTTTACGGCTTGTGATGGCGGTATTTGTTGTTGTTGTTGCTCTTGTTGTTGTTGCTTTTGCTGTCTCGTGCAAAATTGAAACGGTAATTATCTTTTGACAGCACTTAAGTTGAATTTGGCATAGACAGCAGCAGCCGAGCAGCCGAGCAGTCGAGCGGAGGCGATCGAAACGGCGACAAAAGCGGCGCTTTAACTCAACTGACAGCTGAGGTTAAAACCTGGGCGATTAAATTGACAGACTGCCAGCGAACAGTATTTGTGTGTTTTAAATTGCGGCACTAAAAACATTTTAGCGTACGAGTATTTGCCGTTTTTGGCGCAAGCAAAACAGTGTCACTAATAAAATAAAACGCAACTACACACTATTTATACGTAAATAAACTTTCAGAGCTTAGAGGAACGGGTTTTACCTTTGATATTCATATTACTTGTATGTACGTATGTATGTAGCTGTTCATGAGTAAGATTAATGATTTGATGGTTTAATTAATTGACGCTAGTTGGACTGTCATTCAGAATGCGTGTCACTCTGTAATTTGCATTGACATCGGATGGAAACTTGTACTATGTACAAGTAGTATACCCGATTTTCACTTGCTCTACACTACATTTCCCATTTATTCGGTTTTCTTTTTGCCGTTTCGATTGTCAGGAAATTGTTACAATTTGTTAACTGTCAACGGCAACAAGCCGCAAAACAAGTCCGGGGAAAAACAGACCAAACTTTGACACAACCACAACTGAATGATGTGCACCATGGAAGAAAGTCTTCGACCACATCTGGCCTTCACCACAAAACTTGTGAATGTTCGAGTTAAATTGTTGAAGTGTATTCATTTTGTGTTGATATTTTAATTTGTTGTTTGTTGTGTCGCAAACTAAGTTCAATTGTATGATTTGTTCAATTAAGATGGCCGATCGCCTACACAGAGAACATAACTTTGCGCTTTTGCACAATTTATTAGTTGCCTCAACGTTTTCCAATAGATTTTCGTAAACTGAAAACTTTTAGGTTAACAAATTGGTTTACAAATTGGTCTTTTTCTATAAAAAGCAGCCTCAAAGTGTACTTGTCCAAGAGTATAATTGTTGGATTTTGCCCTACAATGCATAAATAAAAGCCCCATTACATAAAATTCTAACGATTTAAGCTCTAAGATGGATTTTTTTGCATATCAATTACTAATGTGAATTTATTTAAAGCCAATTTTCATGTAATATTAAAATGTTTTTAATGGCTGCTGATTTAATTTATGAAAACTATTCATGTTAATATTTATATTCAATATTCTAAGCATAAAAATAGTTTCCCCAGTCTGATTTTAAGAATATATCCTATTGATTTAGTAAGACAGTATTGACATACAAAAATGCTGTTCTTAACGGGGAAGGGAGTGGAAAAATGCTTAAATGTTGGCAGTTTCCGAATATTTTCCGCAATTGATCTGCAAAAAAGGTCAGGCTTGACGGAAAAAAGAGCAAGTTGGTAGTTAAGAGGCAAGGCTTTATAGATTCAGTTACTTCAAATTTCAAATTACAGTAGTTCGGGTTCCAAAATAAGTCTTTCTGTATGTCAGATATTCGTAATTCATAAATGAAGGATCCATATATGGATCGGAACATATTGCATTTTTGTAAGATTTGTGTATTTATTTTATCAACAAAGAAAGCTGTTGCTGTAAAAAATCAATGCAATAGAGAACTAAAGCTGAATAAAACTAAAGAATAAGAAACCTTTAAAATTTGCAAAAATATCTAAGAACGATTCCGACTCGGTGGGGAGATTTAATTTCCCAAACGGCCAGGTATGCCCGGAATCACAGCTCAGGTATTCAGAGACGTTATTAGACTTCACAAAAAAGAAATATAGGAAAAGAAATAAAGTCAATTTAATTTAATAATTAATGAATTATTATTAAATAATTAATTAATAAAAGATAAAAATGAATTTAAAAGCTAAAAGATGGAAAATCCCCCGGTGGGAGAAAGGTTTATTAGCCAGTCCCCTATGCACAGCAGTGGTGATCATATAAATATTTAAATATTTCAGTCAGAAACCTTATTAGACCTATAAAGAATGAAATAGAGCTGAAGATATAATAATTAAATATGAAAAACAATTAAAGCTTAATTATAAAATAAAGTTCAATGAATACTTAAATAAGCAAAGAGAAAAGTATAAGCTAAAGGGTGGAGAATCAGTGAGCCGATGGAGGAAGGCCAATCCGGCAAGATATGCCCGTGATGATCATAAAAGCATATCAATATTTAAATATTTTATACTAAATATTCGACGCACTATCTACAAACAATAGCTAGTTTAACATTAAGTTAACATTTTATTTGCAATTCAATGTTTACTGTAGTAAATAAATAAAAAACGCATGTTATCTATTTAGGAATTTTATTTACATTTAATCTTGCAAATTCAAATTACACTCATCTGTGCTGTTACGCGCCAATCTATAGAATGCGTGGCAAATTGTAACTATTGTGAATGGGCAATTAAGCAGGAAGTCCGTTGTTTACATTTGCCAAATTGCACTTAACATACGGTGTAAGTGTGTGCGTGCGAGTGTGTGTGTGTGCAGTGCAGACGAAAAAGAAAAGGAACGCATAACTGGAGCCAAAAGAGCGCGAAAATTGAGAGGAAACGTGGTTGTGAGCAGATGCAGCTGGCAGACAATATTTTAATTTAACAAACTAAATAGACAATTTATTGCAAGCGACTAAAGACAGAGCGTGCGTGAGTGTTTCTGTGGGTGCTTAGCTAAGAATTGCGCGCTGTTCATATGTTAATTACAGCTGTTTGGCATTTTTTTGCAGCTGACGATCGGCATGGCCTTGAGTTTTGTGCAGAAGCGCCTGCTGCTCGATGAAGATGAGGACGGTGGCCAGCAGCCACACGAGAACCAAGAGAACGTGGATCCTCAATGGTCGGCGAAGCGTTTCAAGAAGACAGCGGTGGAGCAAGTGAAGACGCCCATGCAGCGCCTGCTGGATCGTCAGATGGTTGGGAGTGCGGAGAAAGCCGCGTTGACGCCGGTTACGGCGCTGTCCCAGAGCATGCAGATGGCCCAGCTGGAGGGTACACCTAAGACCTCGATGGGGGACAGACTGCTACTGCGACACAAACGCGCCATAGCGCCGCCATCGCCCGAGCAGAAGACGGGTCTGACCATGCGTGCATTCAACAGCGTGTCGAGCTGCTGCTCCACAGACTCCAATTCAATGGACGATGAGTACATGACCATGCTGGAGCTGCAATCGGCCTCGACGGAGGAGGATACACCGCTGAAAAAGCTGCCCAATGATTTGGATGCGCTCATTACGGGTCGTTTGAAGGAGGATCCATGCCTGAGCACTCCGGATCAATTGTTGCCGTTACGTTCACGATCGCGGCGCTGTCTGAGCATGTCCAGGAAGGAAGACAATCCCTTGTCTCCCTTTAGCAAAACGTTGTCCATGAACGACGCCGACATCATGAGTGCTCTGGCCCGTGATGCTCATGCCGATGAGCCCGAACTTATTGGAGATCTGAGCAAGCCCTGTGCTCTACCTCTGCTTCAGGTGGGCGTGCGTCATCCAGACTTAAAGACAATTTCGTGTGACACTTTGGCGCGCTTGTTGCGCGGCCAATTCGAGGAGCTGGTGACCAGCTACCACATCATTGATTGTCGCTATCCCTACGAGTACAAAGGTGGCCACATTGTTGGCGCGAAAAACCTATACACACACGAGCACATTATAGAGGCTTTTCCGGCATTGAGAAACGCTTCCACTGTGCGTCAACAGCAGCGCAACATTTTCATATTCCATTGTGAGTTTTCCTCGGAACGTGGTCCAAAATTTTTGCGATTCTTGCGCAGCAACGATCGCTCACAGCACACAAATAGTTATCCGCATCTGGACTATCCAGAATTGTATTTACTTCACAACGGCTACAAGGAGTTCTTCGAGCAATATGCCGAGCTCTGCACACCCCGCAATTACATTCCAATGCTCGAGCCGTTGTACAATGAGGAGTTTCGCCATTTCCGTGCCAAGACCAAGTCCTGGCAGTCAACAGATCACGATCATAATGGCAGCAGCGCCGGTGGAGTCGCAACCAACTCGCGTCCGCTTAAGAAATCACGCTCGCGTTTACTCTACTCGGAATTTTAGAAAATTCAGTTAGAAAATTTAAATATTAGTCTCAAAAGTTTCCTTATAACTATAAGTTTTAAATTCCTAAGTAGTTAGCCATCCACGTCTTAAGAAAGAACAAACAAAGAGAGTAATGAATAATTTAGTTTTTAGTTTAGTGGCGTTTTGAATGGCACGTAATTTTATGTATTTTATGCGTTCTACAGTTTCAAACGGTATTCAGCGCAAACTGGTTCCTTGTAATACCTAGAAGAAAGGAATGGAATTTATTTAAACAAACTTATACTAAATTGTTCTGTGAGTACACCCTTGGCCTCTAGTCAAAGCGCCCCAGTTCGACAATTCCAAATGAACGGTTGTGTTATTATCTAAAGAAAAACAATGATATTTATATATATACATATATCTATGTGAACAAAAACAAATTAAACTTGTGATATAAAATGTCCAACTCATTTAAATATTTGTAAGAGAATCACCCTTCATTATAATTATTACACAATAAATGTGGTTGTAATAAACACTCAAAATAAATATATTTAACTATGTTATTAGAAGAAAAATAAGTATTCCATAAATATGAGAGGCCTAACCTATAAAAACTAATCAGTCTTGCTATTTTATATAACTGGAATTCTAAAACCAAACACATGATTACTTCTATTATTAAGTTTGAGCAAAAAACTGTCGAAATGTCTAAATGTGTTTTATGTGTTCTTTTATATTTATAAACACATCAACAATTTGAAACACAGAATGATAATGCAAGCAGATAGGTACATAGATATATGTGTTCTAGATTTTTAGAAGTAGTAGATAATGAATTCTCAGATACTCTTAAGTCAGGGAAATAGTTATATATGTAATAACCTTTTTTTCTAGTATCCCAAAAACGAAACTTCTTACTTTTTTATATAGAATTTTAGATTATACTTTGAACTGAACGTTCAATTGTCCATATTTAACTGACATGCTTAAGATGTTCCGGATTTATAAATATAGATATGTTCTAGATTTTTAGGAGTAGTAGACAATTCTCAGATACTTTTAAAGCAAGGAAATAGTTACGCACATATATGTAATAACCTTTTTTTTCTAGTATCCAAAAAAAAAAACTTCATACCTGTTTATATAGAATTTTTGATTATATTTTGAACTGAACGTTCAATTGTCCATATTTAACTGACATGCTAAAGATGTTCCGGATTTATAAATCAATTCGGCAAGGTGGCTAGAATTAAACAAACTTTATTTCCGTAAAAAAAAAATGTACTTACCAGTGAGCTACTATATAAGTAAAATAAAAGTAAATTAAATGTGATATTTATCTTTCTGGTATCTCAAATAACTAAGTCCTATACTTGTTTCAAAAAATCCTTCGAATTGTACGATCTAAGCTATCTAACATGCCCGAGGTTTTCAGGACTTTGAAACCAATTCGGATAGATATGTTTTTCAGAAACCTTATTAAAATACGGGTATAACTTACCAGTGACCTTTTAGTCTTGTTAAATGGGCTGGGTATGTATAAAATTTAGAAAAACAAGCACATAAATCATTTGGATATGCATATAGAAAGGTATATTTGTAGTTCTGTATTATGTGAGGTCTGTGTCCCTGAAAAATCTTGTTGTTTTGCCAGAGTAAACTTCTTATGGCCAAAATACTCAGTTACCTGCGTTAAGGTAATAAAAATGAAATATTACTCGAAGTTCACAGTCTCCCGGGCATACACACACACCTACATATATAGATACATATGTATGTATATATGGAAGTATATAGTATGTATGGCGGCATGCAGTTCCATGAAAATCGGAAAGCATATTTTATGTTGGCGAAAAAATATGATTTATTACTCGCAATGGGCAATGGTTACAGATATTATATAACAGCAACAACAATGGGTTACTTTCTTATTGCCACACAGTGCAATAATACAAATTATCGAATTTATTTATAGATGGGCGTACCTACATACATATGTATGTGTATAAGTATGTATTGTTTTTATGTGTCTGCTGCCAATAGGCACGCCAAATACCCAATGACATTATTTATGATGACTTATTGCCTAAAGTTGACTGCGACTTTTTGCTAAATTTGAATCTAAAACCACCTGTTACACCTATTCGGTAAAGGTAACTAACGACCACATTACAAATACCAGAACTGAAAACTGAATAGATTTCATTGAATTCATTCCAAAATTAAATATCCGTCCTGTTTTATTTGAAATATTTTTAAAGTTTTGAGCTATTTGAGGGATTTTTTATATAACAAACTAAACAGCAACACAAATTCAAGCAATAAAAAATGAATAAAAATGTATTACTACTAATTAAGAAGTTAATTTTATCTTAGCTATTCTGACTTGCCATTTTATATTTTACAATTCAACGCGATAGCTCTAATACTGTGGGAGGAGTGCTTTCAATCAGCACAGACTCGATTTGAATCCATTTCGTTATGCTGATCATACATATACATATATGTATATTTATATAACTATTCTTCGTTTTGCGCAGCAAAACCATATACCATTACACTTTTCAGTTAAGGGTATACGAAATATAATATATTTACATTAAAAATATAAGAGTAGTTGTGTTGAGTATATAGTTAAAAATATTTTGAACTGAGTACTCCAATTATTTAATGCATTGGGATTATTGTGAAGACAGACAAAAACAAAAGAGGAAAAAGTTAAGGTCGTGCCTCCACGACTTTTGAATACTATGTATCCACCTTTTTCTTAACTTCTGCCTTTTAGTTCAAATAAACTTTGCTGTACCAATCATACCTATGGCTGCTATATAATATATATAGATTGTACAACTTTCTTATATCCTGAAATTTCCTAAGTTTTCTTTTTAAACAAAAAAGTGTTTGGTGCTAAACTTTAATTCTGAGCGGATAGTTTTTATATCAACAAGTGAACCCATTTCCCGATTATGCTAATGCACTTACAAAGCTCAGAAGTACAAAATTCTTTTAAAAAACAACATATTAATTGTTAGTCAGTTAACAAAGTTATTAAACTCTGAGTCCCCTTTAAATTATTATGCTTTAAGAGATTCTTCCATTGTCAAGAATAGGGTATGCAAATTCTACAAAACTTATATTTACATAATTATGTAAATGATTTCCTGCCCGACTTGCTGAATAAGTTATAAATATCCAATCGAGTTCTCCTTCAAGTCGGATAATTTAATGAAGTACTTTGTGGGACTAAATAAAAGCACTCTTTAAAAGTCTTCCCTTGAATCCAAACAACGTCTATAGTAGTAGCTTAATATGAGGTCTTCTAGGACCCCTAATGAGCAAATATCAGATCATGCTATAAATCCTTTAAAAGGGTATAATAACTAATAAATCAAATGGAAATTATTGCTACTAAAAACAATTGCTATACCTATCGTTCCATAACTCATAAATATCAAATGTTGTTTTACTAGTTATAGTTATTTAACTAAAAGTGCCTTTTACAACAATCATTACAGCGTTCTAAAAATCATATAGGTACCTATAATTCATCTGTTTTTTCACGATTTAAAACAATAGACAGTAACATTATAATAATAGTGTATTTAAAATAATTTATGCACTGCAACAGTGATGTACAAATCTTACGTATATATGTATATAAAAAATTATAGAGATATTGTCGCTGCCATAACATGTACAAAATACAAGAGATTTTCTTCGACTTAATCATTATTAAGGTCATCTGGCACTTTGAATGGCGCCGTACACCCAGCTTTATGATAAAATTCTGTAGGTATTGGGTCACTACTGTCCAGTAAGTCTGAGTCCTGATACCAGCAGGGGCCAAGCTGCATGGGAACCATTTTTTCCCGCCAGAAATCCAAGAGTTCACGGCGCAGCACCTCATCGCGCAATGTAACTATCCATTCATTGTAGTCCCAAGGTCCATAGAAGCCGGCATCGCTTTTATATTCCCGTAACAGTTTCGCAACTTTGTCAAATTTATTTTGATCCGGCTTTGATGCGTCCCTGAAAAGCTGTTCCCAAATATATTTGCGTACCGCTTTGGCGATCTTGTTTACATTGGCAGTTTTCCTCTCATCGGGCACAATGTAATCAACAGCCACATAGCGATTCATCAAATTGCGATAGTCTTTGCTGGGCTGCTCATCAGAAATATTGGCCTCGAAATTTCCAGATAGCACGGCTTCTTTATCAACATCGGCGGCAGCGGGCTCGGCTGCACTCGCCTCTACATCGTTGGACTTCGTGACGCTGGCTGAAAAAGGTGCCACACAGCCGGCCTTGGCATAAAACTCCAATGGCGGCGCATCGTCACCGTCAAACATATCTGAGTCACGCGAACAGCAGGGACCCAGCTCGTTCTTTACGATAACATCACGCCAGAAATCCAAGAGATCTCGCTTGAGGACCTCATCGCGCAATGTAACTATCCATTCATTGTAGTCCCAAGGTCCATAGAAGCCGGCATCGCTTTTATATTCCTGCAACAGTTCCGCAACGTTGTCTAATTTCGATGGATCCGGCTTGGAGGCGTCGCTGAAAAGCTGCTCCCAAATATACTTGCGTGCTGCCTTTGCGATTTTGTTTACATTGGCAGTTGTTCTCTCATCGGGCACAATGTAATTGACCAACACATAGCGATTCATCAAATTGCGATAGTCTTTGGTGGGCTGCTCATCAGAAATAGTGGCCTCGAAATTTCCAGAGAGCACAGCTTCTTTATCAACTTCGGCGGCAGCAGTTTCGGCTGGACTCGCTTCTACGTCGTTGGACTCCGCGGCGCTGGCGGCGCGCACCTTTAAGCTGGCTGAAAATGGTGCCACGCAGCCGGCCTTGGCATAAAACTCCACTGGCGGCGCATCGTCACCATCAAACAAATCTGAGTCGCGTGACCAACAGGGACCCAGTTGGTTCTTTACGATGGCATCACGCCAGAAATCCAGTAGGTCGCGCTTTAGCACCTCGTCCCGTAATTTCACAATCCATTCGTTGTAGGGCCAAGGCGCATAAAAGCAAGCATCGCCCTTGTATTCCTCTAGCAGCTCAGCCGCCTTTTGTTGCTCTGCTTTGCCGCTGCCCTCTTTGAACAACAAGCGCCAGATGACGTCATGGGCAGCTGCAGCGGTTTTCGAGAAATTTTCTCTGGTAACCTCATCGTCGACTATTTCATCAACTTGTACATGTTTATTCATAAGATTCTTGTATTCCTTCAGAGGCTGGTCCTCGCTGATTATGAATGCCGCACTTTCCTATGAATTTCAAAATATTTACTTACAATTTTCCACTTGTAGGATAAACATATTTACGTGTGCGCTTGATTTTGGTGCTGCCATTTCTTTGTCGGTTATGTCTGCTTTGCGTTTTGACATTTCCCGTCGGATCAAACCAGCAGTTGCAACGTTCGGCTTGTGGGCGGCAGCTTTATTTACAAATTGGTGACTAATGCCAACGATTTTAATTGTTTTTATTATTGCAAGTACCATGAAGATATCGATAAAGGCATTGCACTTACAGTTTTTTGACTCATCGGTATTTTTATGTGGCTACGCCATTTGTTGGTATTTAACAGTGTGACCACATCTTGGTGAAAATAAACTGGCGGGAAACATTAAATTTTAAATTTTTCATATTATAATACAAGTGCGTTGAATACTTTTAATATTAAGCCACACAAGAACATGAATCCACAGACACTAACGTAAAATATAAACACTGCGTGAGCATACAGATAAAATATATATACATATATAAATATATACTGGTATATATAAAAAGAATGCAGCTATCTGTAATATTTCGATACTATACATGCTGAATAATGTCGCTGTTACGATAGTGCCGTAAAAAGTAAATGTTTCAGTGCTCTGGTAGACTTCAAATCGTAAGCAACAGGCCTTCGCATGATATTTTATTACCGTTATCTTCACCTTAATCAACGAACAAACTGTCTTAGTGATTCATACTATCCGACGGCAATATAGGTAAAATAAATTTTTTAAAAACACTCGTATGGGGATGCCCCTCCTTTTCCTACATACACGTATACTAGGAGTCTTCAAAGTAAATACTATTGACTACTGATAGCCATGAGTTTATTTGCTTCGATTATTGTCGTATGAATCGTTCAATAAACAATAAATGAGCTCCTTTAATGAAATATTAAAAAAAAGTTATTCATTTGTCTACTTCTGTATATACGTAGTATTTATAAAGTTTAATTTAAAGTGTAACAAATGATTCTTTTGGTTCTATTTTCAAAATTAACAAAGGAGTGCATTTCCACATTTTTTATTCTATCTCTTTTTTATTAACAATTTGTGCAATTTTCAGGTCATGGATTCAAGATCGGATAGACCTCAGTCTGCATTTTTTGTGGACATATTAAATGATCGTTTTTTTGAATTGGCATATAGGGATGAGGAAGGTTTCTTGATATTAAATGATGATTGCTTGGAAAATATTTTGAAATATTTAAAGGACGAAGATCTCGAAAATTTTGCCTTAGCTCATCCACGGATCCTGCATATCGTGCTTAGGCAGTCTCCACAGTCGTTATATTTTGAAAAATTAAGTGATTTTGTAGAATTTGTGCCATGGTTGAAAGAGAATCTAAATTTATTCTTAGACTTTAGCAATGATTTCTGGATAAGAATCTTGTGGTACATGAACTATTTTATACCGAAGGCAGATTTTATATTTTTTGCAAATGCTTCTCCACGGATTAGAAAACTCGCTCTTGAAACTTTTCCAGACCTTGTAGATGAAGTATGTGCACTTGATTGTGGAGAAGGTATTTTAATTTTGAACGACTATTGCCTTGAGAAGATATTAAAGTATGTCATATATAATTGCGAATTAACCGAAGATTACACAGATCTTATAAATTTTGGAATGGCTCATCCAAGGATTAAAAATATGGCTCTCGATTTAGAACCTTTTCTTGACTTCGCAGATTTTTGCAAAAAAAGTCTATATTTGGACACAATTGATATCGACTTCAATGATTGCTATAGACAAATTGTAGATTTAGGTTCAATAAAAAAGATACAATTCTGGAGTCAAATTTTATTTAAGTGTAATCGCGAGACTGTGAAAACATGTACGCTGCGCTATTATGTTGAAGAAAGCCTTATGCCGGACTATGTTGAATATTTTCAAAGAGTAATGAATGTGCTCAATCCCGATCTAGAAGATTTGCGAATTTATAATGTCGGTAAGATACTACTATACTGTTGATCAATTTCTATAGAACTCTTAATACTTTATTAATATTTTAGGCTACTCTGTGGATAATTTACATCGATTTACACGTCTCAGAAAATTGACAATAAGCGGCGATATAAGTGCCGACGTTCTAGTTGAATGTTGCAAAGCAAATCCAGATCTAGAAATTATAAATCTTATGAGATCATCAATTTATGGAAAACTTGCAGATATTGTTCCGCATTGTAACAAATTGTTGGATCTCTCTGTGACTGTGAAGGAAAATGCTGTGGAATACGTTCCTCTGGCAAAACTTCCACATCTAAAGTATTTATGGTTATACGGCCAACACGATATCGGATCCTTGCAGCAGGTGTTCAGAGCGTTCGCATCTAAAGAACCACAGATCGTTAGAAAGTTGTTCATTGAACCGCTTATTAATTACGATGAAACGTACGAATTGACTGGCATTAGAAGCCTTTCAATACTAGATTATAGGTATTACGATACCAGGAGCCTTATAGCATTGTCACAGCTAAATAACTTGGTGGAACTAAATGTGGAAAATACGCACAAGTTCCAGTATGAACCAGTGACTGGAAACGAAATTATAGAAGCGTTTTTAATTATTTTACAAATGTGCCCAAGATTAGAGGAATTGTATCTTGATTGGGATATTGACAAGCACTTTATTAGCAACGTCGCTGAAGTTTTAAAAAATGTTCGAGATCCTGACACTCAAAATCCACTTAGAATAAGAGGTTATAAAACAAATTTGTTTATCACAGAAAAAGAAGAAGTAAGTAGATTTAATTGACACTTTCCCTTTTATATGTCATTCCGGTAATTCTTAATTGCATTGCATTTAATTCCAGAAAATATGGGAGGAATTGTATGGGAAATATTTGAAAGTGTTATTGGTTGAAAATCTTTTAATAGAAGACGAAGACGATTCCGGAACTTCTTCTTCACCTCCACCAGCAGACCTATATTATGATTGATTTATACCAAAATAGGCGATGTTTGAAAAGGCTGAAATGATTTTAAAATATTGACAAATTACGAAACGATGAAGCCTAAGGGCAAACATATATTTTAAAAAATGTTCTTCAAATAATAAAAAATAAAAATTGTAGGTCCTTAGCGGGGATTATTTTTGGGTTTGTCGAATGGTTAAAAGAAAATTTTGATATTATTGTTGACTAGGCAGATGTTTCCCAAATTGTATATTAAGTGAAATCGAAAACATCGCTTTTTTAGATTTACTTTCACTTTCTTAGATTTAGATTCAGCCGTATATTTATATATTTAGTTATAATAGGTCCATTTGGTAATGCTAATACGTTGCGAGAGACAAAAGTTCACCAACCTGCAATTTTCAATTAACTGTGTCAATAATAAGACCTGCATGTCGTAGCACTAGACCACATCTTGTTAAAAGAAACTGGCGAAAAAATGTAAAGCTTATATTTTAAAAGAAAATGTGCGTTGAATACTTTTATCCAAAGCGCTTCGAAAACATCATTCTGTTTAATATATATATAGAAGGCAGCAATCCGTATCATTTCGATACTATACATGTAAAAACTGAGCAATGGACGTTGTTACGATAGTGCCGTAAACAGTTAATGCTTCAGTATTCTGGGAGACTTCAAATCGTAAGCAACGAGTCTTCGCACAACATTTGATTGCCGTTATCTTCCCCATAATCAACGATTAAACTGCCTTAGTCATTCATATTATCCGGCGCAAATTAAGGTAATATAATAACAAAACATAGATAGATAGTCGTATGAATCGTTATCTTATTAATTCTTTTTTTAATTGCCTCTTCATCGATCAAGATATGCGAAAATAAACACTTCTTTACAACAAAAGAGCTCCAATAATGGATTTAAAAAAAATATTTATATAGTATTTATGAAGTTCCATTTAAAGTGCTACAAATACTTGTAGACTCTATTCGTGACACCTTAACTATTTAAATTAATCATATTCATGATTTTGTTGTTTTTATTTAAATTATTAACCATTTGTTTGCATAATTTGTACACGACAGCAAATCTGAACATTCGGAAAGAAGCTCTGTAGATGATCAGAACATAAATCGAACATCTAGTGCCAGTTCTCAATCTGGAAGTTTTGCGGAAATATCAAATTATCAGTCAGGTCATGGAACCCGAACATTCGGAAGGAAATCCTGCAGATGATCAGCACATAAAACGAACATTTAGCTCCAAATCAAAAGAGGAAAGACCTCGATCTGGACATTTTGTGGAAACATTAAATACATTTTTTTTTGAATTTAAAATATTGGCATATCGAAGTCAGGAAGGTTTCTTGATTTTAAATGATGAATGCTTGGAAAATATTCTGAAATATTTAAAGGACGAAGATCTCGTCAATTTTGCCTTAGCTCATCCACGAATCATGCATATCGTGCTCAGTCAGAGTCCGCGGTCGATATATTTTGAAAAATTAAGTGATTTATTGGAATATGAAGCCTTTGGGCAGTGGTTGAAGGACAATATAAATTTATTCTTAGACTTTAGCAACGATTTCTGGTTGAATATTTTGTTGGACATGAACGGTAATTTTCCAAAGGCAGATTTTATATTTTTTGCAAATGCTTCGCCACGGATTAGGGAACTCGCTATTGGCGTTTTTTCAGGCCTTGAAGATGATTTATGTGCACTTGATTGTGGAAAAAGTATTTTAATGTTGAACAACGATTGCCTTGAACACATATTAAAGTATGTCATATATAATTGCGGCTTGATCAGAGATTACACAGATCTTATCAATTTTGGACTGGCTCATCCACGGATTAATGATATAGCTCTTGCTTTAACACCTAATAATCCATTTCTGGACTCAATGATGATCGACTACAATGATTGCTCTATTCAATCCTGGTGTCAAACTACAAATGCGATAAGATCATGTACATTGATCTACGATGTTGAAAAAAATTTTGTACCAGAATATGTTGAATATTTTCAAAAAATCATGAATGGGCTCCATCCTGATCTAGAAAATTTGCAAATTTTGAATACCGGTGAGATACAATTGTTGATCATTATACAGTAATCGCAATAATTAATTTATATTTTAGGCTACTCTGTGGATAATTTACATCGATTTACACGTCTCAGAAAATTGCGTATAAGCGCCGATATAAGTGCCGACGTTTTAGTTGAATGTTGCAAAGCAAATCCAGATCTAGAAATTATAAATCTTTTGGGATCTACAATTTATGGAAAACTAGCAGATATTGTTCCGTATTGTAACAAATTGTTGGATCTCTCTATAACTCTAAAGGCCAATGCTGTTGAATACGTTCATCTGGCAAAACTTCCACATCTAAAGTATTTGCGGTTAAACGGCCAACACGATATCGGATCCTTGCAGCAGGTGTTCAGAGCGTTCGCATCTAATGAATCACAGATTCTTAAATGGTTGTACGTCGAACCACTTATTAATTTTGATGAAACTAAGGAACTGATTGGCATTAGAAGCCTGTCAAAACTAGAGTATAGTTATAACGATATCAGGAGCCTTGTAGCATTGTCACAGCTAAATAACTTAAGGACACTACAAGTGAAAAATACGCACAGCTTCCCATATCAACCAGTGGCTGGAAACGAAATTATAGAAGCGTTTTTAATTATTTTACAAAGGTGCCGAAAATTAGAGGTATTTTTTCTCCATTGGTATATTAAGAAGCACTTTATTAGCAACGTCGGTGAACTTTTGAAAAAAGTTCGAGATCCTGAAACTCAATTGTCACTCAAATTAATAGGTTATGAAAACACTAAGTTTATCACAGAAAAAGACAAAGTAAGTAGATTTAATTGGCACAAGGGTTTTTAATGAAAGTGGCTTTCATTTCAGAAAATGTGGAAAAAATTGTATGGAAAATATATGAGGGTGATACTGGCTAACCGTTCTAATTTTGAAGACAAGACCGAATCCGAAACTCCTCCTTCACCTCCACCAGCAGACCTATATTATGGCTAAAAGGATTTTAAAATACCCACTAATTTGTGCATAAAGATGTAGCCTAAGGTCAGTCATATTTTTGAAAAAAAAAACATTTTCTAAAAATAAAAAAATACAAATACGTCCTTGGCAGGGAAATTTTTGTGGTTTGTCCAATAGAAGTGCGAAATGTTAAAAGCTAATTTTGATAATATTGTTGACTAGCCAGATGTTTCCCAAATTGTATATTATGTGAAATCGAAAACTTTACTCATTCGAATATATCCACAGGAGTAATACTTGTAATACAGTTATTTTATTAATGCAAGGGGTAGAATACGTTGCTTGAACGAACAGTTGACTATCCTAGCCAGTAAAACATTATAGAATGCTTGAATTAACTGTGTTATTTGAATAGGCGCCGTTATTGTTGCTATATTGCTTACAAATTTAAGATTTAAAAATGATTGTTGATAACTATTTAAAAACATCAATATTATTGGTATTTTTATCGACAGCTTGGCAACACTTTGTGTGAGTGTAGCCACATATTAACATTGCTCCATTGTCACATGTATTTTGTTCATCGCTATCAATGTTTAAAGGATCCGGCCACCCATCTGTAAGAACTACTGCTTTATGAGTTAGTTCAGTGAGCTAAATAAGTTGGTAGTTCAGTTGTTTGGATGTGCTTGTCGTAAAAATACGTAGTTAAAACCTTTCGAGAAGTCATTGATAGTTAATTAAAGAGTTGAGAGAAAATAAAATTTGTTCGTGTGCGTCTCCGCTACAAATTTAAATTGCGCGTGTGTTGTTCTTTTACAAATACATACATATGTTGTGTGCTGAAATTTGAGGTTAAGAATTTTGCCCATTTCTGTGAGTGTGTGTGCGTGAATTTAATTTTCTCGTGCACAAAAAGCAACGAAATCCCTCAAGTTATACTCAAATGTGTATGGCAATTGTGGTAAGTTTCGTTCACATGCTTATAACATTCGTTTGATCGAATGAAAATTTGGCAATCAAATAAAGAAGTAAAACTACAATGGAAAAGTGACCTGCCCATGTTCAGTGTATGTATGTATGGATGTATTTTATATACATGCATATGTACATAATGGCACACATACATGCATAAATATAAATATATATATAAATATGTGGTTGTGGGCGCTGTGGCAATAGCCATTATTTAAATTAATTTAAAGTACTCAGTTGAATTATTTACACTGTTTTTCTAATTCGATTTTAATAGACGCGCTTGTATTTCTTTTCGCCTTTTATAATTGCTCGTGTCGCGCTCTCTCTCTCTCTCTCTTTGTCTAAGGCAATTCTCTCGCACACATTCACAGCAAGCGTCTGAACGTATGCATGTGTGTGTGTGTACTCATACATATGTATATTTAGGAGTGTAGATGTGCAACTGACTGCTAGGGTGTTCTATTCGGTATTTGAAATGTTGAAATACAAACTAAAGCCGCTCTCTAAACGAAACAGAAAACAAATAACTTTATTATTTGACATAATTAAATGGTCCCACCACAACATACAACTTCAACAACTTTCTTAATAAATGTGTAAATTGGTGAAAATAAAAATTTGTTTATGCACACATTTTTTCAAAAGATTAAATATTCAAATTCGTCGTTCCTGTCGTTTAAGCAGAGGTCGGCTTTATTTATTACACCTTTAAAGGCTATGAATTTAGAGCTTAAAAATTAAAACATTTCAATTGCAAGTGCCAGTATTTCAAAATAAATACGCTACCAATTTTTTCAAATATAGTTTTGATAAAAAGTTCAGTTCATCCTTGATTAATCACACAACTTTAGATGTTCTTTATTTGGAAAACGTTTTTTTGAACGCCAAAAGGGGGTGCATTTGCATTTAATATTAGAAATTGAAAACTGAAAATCTGCGTCGTGAGAACTACGAGTTCCGTGATTGTGGGGGAGTACCCTCTGGGTTGCAATTTAATTTAGAACTTTATAGAGCCAGTGTGAAATAAAATGCGACCTTTCTTTATCTCTTCATAGTCTTCATTCATTTTTAAATGCTGCTATTCATTCACTTTCTCTGCGAACTGTTGACCCACTTACCCCATTTGCTCAAACTTGCAGCCGACTGCGCAAAATAATTCAACATGACTTTTTTTTGTTGCTGTTGTAATTTGCTAAAAATCGGGTTAATGTGTTAAGGTTAATTTCCTGCGGAGAGTTGTTTGAATGTAGGTTTGCTATTTTTTTATATGACGTCGTCAACCATGTTGTTGCTATTCTAGTTGCAAGGAAATGTCATCCAAATTGGCCTGGTTTTGACAAACAAACACACACACAAACAGGCTATTCAGAAGTTTGTAAAACGGGGGCAAACTCTATATTTGGTTCCCAGTGAAATGCTGATTCTTCCGTAGCAACTACTAGCGCGATTATACTTGTGTCTGTAATAAATATTAATATCTAATCTATCTTATCTTGAAAATGCTTAAACAGATTTATCATATCAGAACAGAGAGTGCGCAACTTGAGAAAAAATAAAGAAAACAAAAATCTCGTACAACAGCTACGCAGAAAAATGCTGAAAATTGTGGAACAGACGTTTCAGTACATTTTTATTTCGAGCATTCTGAGGACGTCCGACATATTTTCGTTCCGTCGCGTTGCCCCTCATTTTTTTGAACAGCTTGTGAAGAAATCTAAAGTCAATATAGTATATATCTCTTAAAATGATTATGACATGAGCTGAAAACCATTAATTACTTGTTGGAGGCGTTCGGTTCGGACGCGTTTGCAAAAAGGTCTCCTCAATAATTGTTTATAAGTGTTCAGAAAATCTATCAACGCATTGATGAGCATATATAACGATACATTGTAAATATTATGATACAAACAATCGGCTGATTGTAACACATAGTGTAGAAATAGTTTTTTTTAGGTGTATCATTTCCGGTTCTTTCTAGATAACGTTTTCTCTTGTTCTGTTTTAACTTTTTTTCGGTTTACCTTTATCACTAACACATTAAACATTTCTGCATTACTTCTGGCTTTGTATTTATCGCACAGTTTTACTAATCGATTTGTATATGTGTATGTATGAATGTATCTGGCATTTACGTCAATGCTTCAGACAATCAAACAAAACACACAAAAGTGCTTTGTCAATAGAATACATAAATATTTAACTTCCTTCCTATGTATATGAATATATATCAGCAGAATATTATTGTTTTGCTGAAGCACCACTTTCTTCTGACTCCTTTAATATTACAATATATAAAATATGTTAAAGTTATTCTTTTAAAAATATTTATTTAAACTTGGAGCATTCTGGTAAATATCTTCCAAAACGGTTTGTTTACCCTGGGGGAATTCGTCCACTTTCACAGATCTGACCCCGGCCTTGTGATCTTTCTTAACTAGTCACTCTTTCTGCTTCCTTCGCTAAGTAAATGTACTTATATATCTACTATAGTATGTGTTGTTTGTCTACACACATTCTTACGTGCTCTCGTGCATTGCTTTTATTTATTTTTCTCTTGTCTGTCCTTGAACAAGTTCAACGTTTTTTTTTACATTCGATATATTTGTTCATTTCTCGGAAAGCAAGAAAAAATGTTGATAAAAACAGCATGAGGGGTTTGTCACTTTTTAAATGGCTTTTGCGCAAACTTGTTGTTGCCTTTCGTTTTACTCTTTCATTCTGTAGATGCGGTTTTTAAATAAATTAGTTCATTAGTATAAATGTTTTTAAAATATAATTATTTTTGTAGTTATAAAAATGTCTCAAACAAATGTTGGAACAAAAAGACGTAATTCTTAACCTCTGAATTTTCCTTCTCCTATCATAATTATACACAATTGTTAAACAATCTTAAGCGAAATATTCTAGAATGATGTACTCTATGTTTGCACCCAGTTAGTTAGAATGTAAATACACATATAAAATTTTATCAAAATTTGTGAAAAAGGAACAGTACTTTCTAAAAATATCCTATTCTGTTGTACATCTTTTATCGATATCCCGTGAAAAAATCGTAACAATCGGATGGTTAGAAGCCGAGTTATCGCACGTATCGCATAAAAGATCATAGCTGTTGGTGCATGTTCAATATAATCCCAAAATCAAACGTCAAAGTGCCAAATAGGAACAACCAGATGAGCAGAAATGAAGTTCTGAAAAGTCAAATGAAATTTAGAGAATTATTTATCGGAAATTCGTGCAACCGGTTCCAGCATTTGTTCGATGGTCCTATTACAGATCATATAATAGAGCAGATTTTGTCAGGCATGCCATTTGTATATATCAAAAATCAATTCTTACGAATCACAGAAAACATTGTCTTAGGCCTATGTTTTGCTTAAAAGCTAGTTTAAACTCAAGGATATGGCAAAACGTTTCATTCTACTCTTTACTAGAAATAAATCTGAAACACAAGCTAATTCTCTACAATAATTGTTCTAGAAGTTGCTAAACTATATCTGAAATAAACTTCTTGCATTGTTTCTCTACATTGCGACAACCACTGAGTTTAAATGACGAATGAGGTTCTATTGTACCTTTGTCACGTTTCGGAAATCGTGCAAATGTCGCCAATATGTCACTTTTAAAAATAGATAACAAAATAGACCACTTACATGTATGGTACGTACACAGAAAAATTGCAACGTCAGTTTGTGGATATTTCTCTGCACAGAAAAAAGCAGGAAAAAATGAAAATCTAGCGTTGGTTAGATTCTCAATGGCTATATTTAGTCCATGTATGTACATACATATCTCAGATTATAAATATACATTTTGAAATAGATTTTTATCTCGACAACCTTGCTATATGGATGGGGCCCTTAAACATAAGACAATAATAATGTTCAATATAATACAAACAAACTGGCATTGTTATTCCGTAAGCAAAAAAATTTTGAATATATTATGCAACTAATCGAACTACAACTTGCAAATGTATATAATAGGCAGAAGGAGGCTCAGGGATTAAGAATGAATTAAACTGGATATATAGTACATAGACTCATTTGTCGTTAAATAAATAAATTTACCCACATTTTTAGGAGACTATTGAGACTCGACCAATTCTACTAGAAATCACCATTTTTTTCTTGAATGTATAATCTCTATTATTCATTACTATAA